AAAAAAAAAAAAAAAAAAAAAAAAATGATGCAGGATGATGCATATACAACACAACAGCTCCCTCTGTACTAAACCCTAAACCCTAAACCCTAAACCCTAACCCCTAAACCCTAAACGCTAAACCCTATCTCCACCCCATTCCTTTGTCTGTATATTATTTTTGTTGTGTATTAGGGTTTATGGTTTGTTGTGTATGTGTTGCTGTTTCTGTGTATACACCAGGATGATGAAGGTGAGGATACAAAGGGAGAGGATTGTCTATCATGGGCTGCAGCTCTGATTCTAACTATCCCGCCATCAATACTCGCAATACTGCTGGCGCGGCACATAGCGAAGCGACAAACACAGTCACTAGGTTCAGGGTTTCCGGGGGGTTTGAGCTCTGTATCTGGGGGTTTCTCTGGTGGGCGCAGCAGCGGCCGCAGCAGCAGCAACAGCAACAGCAACAGCAGCAGCAGCATAGAGTTAAACTCTGAAAGCATTTCTTCTATAGATGAAGATATACTAAGAGCTGAGGGAGAAGCTCTCTCTTATGCAGAATATGAACAGCCCCCAATACAAAAAATAATAAAAAGAAACAATAGATTGATGCCTCCTATTTCACCTTCACGTTTATGGGTACGCAGCAGCAGCAGCAGCAACAGCAACAGCAGCAGCAGCAGCAACATAAACAATAGAAGATTCTCTCCTTATAGTTATAAACACATAAAACAACAACCTCTATCTTATGCTTATTCTGCTGCTGAGCTGTATGGCGATCAGTACTTGTATGATCCTCTCTATAGAAGGCACACACATACACCCCAAAGCAGCTACGATAGAGCTTTACCTCTTTTTCATGAATTCGCTGATATAGAAGAATATACAGACAAACAGTGGAATGCTTCCGCTGCTGCAGGAGCTGCTGCTGCTGCTGCTGCTGGTGCTGCTGCACCTGGAGGAGTTGATAGACATCAGCAAGAGCTGCAAATGCACGGCGGACTCTGAAGCTGCTGCTGCTGCTGCTGCTGCTGCTGCTGTTGCTGCTGCTGCTGCTGCAGCTGCTGTTGCTGCTGCAGCTGCTGCTGCTGCTGCAGCTGCAGGGAAAAGGAAATGCTGGGGTGTACATACACCTCCTCATCAGGCCCATGAGGTGAAGGCCGCCATAAGTTAATTGTTTTTATTTTATTTATTTTTTTGCTGTTTTTAAGTCTAAGAGGAAAAATATAATACCATAAACTTTTCTTCTATTTAGGTTTTGTTGTTTCTTTGTTTCTCTATTTGTTGCTTTCTCTGCTTCGCTGGGCTCACCGCTACAACAACACTGCTCGTTTTTTTTTTTGTTTTTTTGTTTCTCTGTTTCTCTGTTTATTCTGCTTTTTTGTTTGTTTTGTTTGTTTGGTTGCTTGCTTTCTTGGTTGTTTGTCTGTTTGTGTGTTTGTTTCGCTTTCTATTGTTTCTTCGTTTCTCGTCTATCCTTACCCAATAAAAGGGGGCAGTACGTAGTATAGAAAGCAACACAATATATATATATATATATATATATATATATATATATATATATATATATATATTTTATACACAACTGCATATATAAATATACAGTAGTAGTAAAATAATTCTCTATTGTATATATAGTCTCTTACAGCAACAAACCCTAAACCCTAAACCCTAAGAACCACAACACCAAACCCTTAACCCTAAACCCTAAGCACCACAACAACAAAACCCTAAACTCTAAACCCTAAGCACCACCACAAATCCCTAAACTCTAAACCCTAAGCACCATAGCATCAAACCCTAAACCCTAGACCCTAAGCAGTACAAAACCACAACAGCGTGGCTCATCAGACTGTTCCCATTGTTTTATAATTCATATTGTCAGCAAAATGTTAATCAACTGCACGCCAGAAGGATGTAAACTCTTGCAGCAGCAGCAGCATCGGCGGCAGCAGCAGCAGCATGAGCATCAGCAGCAAAGAAAGCAGGGAAAGAACGAGCAGCAGAAGAGCAACGCAGCTCCTGGATACTTTTTTGAATGCTGAGAGCATTAAACTGTTGAAATATAATTTCTTTTTTTCTGTATACTGTACGGTGACGCCTCATCTCCCCCTGGGGCGCGTCGAGGTGTACGTACAGTGCAATATTTGCTTGTATTAGCGGCTCAATCTGAATGAAAGTTCAGAATAATTTAATTTAATTTTATTTAATATTCAATTCACAGCTGCTGAGCCTCTCCTTCTGTACGAAGGAGGGGAGGATGGGCTCCGCAGCATCTCTGTTGCTGGAACGGTCCTGCTGCAGCTGTTGCTGCTGCTGTTGCTGCAGCTTTTTTAACGAAGAAACATCAGTGCACGCAATGTTAATAATTTATAATTAAATATATTTAAATGCATGCACCAGCTTGAAGTTTATCGATGAATACTGATGAATACTGCGTCGAGTTTCAGCAGGCAACTGGTGCGCACACAACCACTGCCATTGAGAGGCAGAAGGAAGGTTTGTATATAAGCTTCTATCATTTTTCTTTCTTTTTTCCTCCCTAAAAAACATGTAAAATAGAATAATAAATAAAACAATATAATATTGTTTCATATTTATACAAATATATTGCATATATGCAGTACAAAACAATAAAAGTTTCGTCGCTCACCTAGGCAAGCTCGCCGGTGAAGCTGAACTAACTACCCCCAGCACCGCAGCAGCAGCTGCTGTATTGTATAATCATATTCAATAAAAAGTTTATACAGTATATTGTTGTTGTTCTGAGAGATTTATATGAAAATATTTGAAATTTCTTCATACAAATTCTTCATACTCACTCACCGGCTGCTGGTGGTGCCCCCTATATACCCACCACACCGTTTCTCCAGTGTATACGCACTCATTGTATCGCTCCTGCAGAATCCTGCTGCTGAGTCAAAGTATTCACACCGAGGCCCCCACTAAACCCAAAAACTTTCGCAGCAACTTATTTTTTTCTAAGCTTTCTGGGTTTCCTGCTGCTGCTGTATACAGCTTTCTCTCGCCGACGCCATGGGGGCTCTCCTTCTTCTCTATGCGGCGGTGCAGTGAACACGCTGCCGGTCAGGTAGAGTTTCAGGTTTCTGCAATAGTGCTTCTGTTTACTTCTCTCGTGCATCTCTCTTGAACTCTATTGTATTCATTTTAATGGTATTTCATATTCTTTCCCTCACCGACATCTACACTACCCGCACGCACTGTATACGGCCAATGCGACGGGTGGGGGCCGCCGTGCAGAGCAGCTTGCTGCTGAGGTAAGCCGTTCAGGTTTTGTTTTATGTTACAAAATAAACAAAAATATGCAGCACAACTCTGCTGCAGTTTTATATTCTTCTTAAGAAGCCTCTCTATTGAGAAAGCAGCACCTCATCGACGGGGTCAGTGGCTCAGGAGGGTGTGCTCGCAAGCCGCACAGGCGAGTGCATAGAGAATGGGAAAGCGTTTATAGAATAATTTTATAGAATTGTTTTAAAATATTATTTTAATTATTATTTAAATTTATATGGATTGAATGAATGCAGCTGTATTATACATGTAGACATGCTGCTNGTAGCCCACCACGGCGAATCCCCATTGCCCTGGTGCTGTGGCGCGGCTTAGCGGGCGTGCGTATGGTTTGTTTCTCTGTTCATTTGTTTCAAAACTTCGTATTCAACGTTTTATTCTATTCTTTATTTAACTTAAGATCATTAGACGAAAAATAAACGTGATTTAGTGTGTGGTGTTGTTGCTGGCCGGGGCGGGCGAAGCGTGGGCTTGGCCGTCAGGCAGTGTTTCGCTTACGGAGCTATCTTAAGATTGAAAAACAAAATAAAACGGCTACAATTGTTTATTTTTATATTCTTTATTGAAAATAATTCTTGAATTTGCGCGGGGGCGTTCAGTTCAACTTGCATCAGGCGAAAGCTTTCTTTCTGCCCGTCGTCGCGTGTGAGGTACATCGTGTGGGAAAGCAGAGTGTGAATATCACATATATTTTTCTGTTTTTTTCTTTAATTTTAAAATATTTATTAATTTATATTTCTTTTTTTTTATCATTAGAATAAGAGAAGATGTGTGGCGTAACAGCGGTTATGCTTTCACCTTTAAACCCTGAATCATTGCGTCAGCTATGTTTGTCGCGATCAAAGCTCATCAGACACCGCGGGCCAGATTGGAATGGTATAGATGTAATATGTTATGGTGGTGATAGAATACATGCATTAGCACATGAAAGACTATCTATAGTCGATCCAACGTCAGGAAAGCAGCCTCTAAATGACCCAGAAAGACGTATGGTATGTGTAGCAAACGGTGAAATATATAACCATATTCAACTCCGAGCTCTTCTCCCATCATCAGAATCTGAAAAACTACAAACTCAATCGGATTGCCAGGTTATTCCTTCTTTATTTAAATATTTTGGCCGTGATTTTGTTTCTATGTTAGATGGTGATTTCGCAACAATAGTAGTAGATAGATACACCGGAGATTTCCTTGTTGCAAGAGATCCTATTGGTATTTCTCCTCTTTTTGTTGGCCATTCAGCCAATGGTTCTATTTGGTTTTCTTCAGAGGTGAAAGCACTACAACAAGACTGTGTNTTGTTGGCCATTCAGCCAATGGTTCTATTTGGTTTTCTTCAGAGGTGAAAGCACTACAACAAGACTGTGTACGTGTTCGTGAATTTCCTCCTGGGCATTCTTTTTTTTTTAAGGCATCAAAGTCATCAGGTATAATGGAGCGTTTTTATAAACCTAAATGGATGCAACCAGAGGCCCCTATTCCTACATCTTTATGTGATTTATCTAAACTAAGAGAAGAACTAGAAAAGGCAGTAAGCAAGAGAATGATGTGTGACGTTCCTTTTGGTGTATTACTCTATGGTGGTATAGATTCAGCTATCATCGCCGCTATAGTATGTAGATTATATAACGAAAGATTCAATAAAGAACAAAACGAACATTTCTGGACGCCAAAAATACATTCATTTGCAATAGGTTTAAAAGGAAGCAGAGATCTAGAATGTTCAGCATTGGTGGCTAAGCACGTGGGGTGTACACACCATGAGTTTACGTTTGAGCCACAAGAAGCTATAGATGCTCTCTCTGATTTAATATATATGATAGAATCCTACGACGTATTGACTGTCCGTGCAGCTTTATTAAATTATTTTTTATATAGATTAATAAAAAGTATAGGGGTTAAGATGGTGATTACAGGCGAAGGAGCAACAGAGTTGTTTGGTTGTGCTGCTGATATGCAACAAGAAACAGATTCATCTTCTTTTCATCTTTCTATTGTAAAAAGAATAGCTGATATGCATTTTACGGATTCATTAAGAGCAAATAAAGCATCTATGTGTTGGGGGGTAGAAGCAAGGGTACCCTATCTAGATATAAACTTCGTTGAGTACGCAATGTCTATCAACCCAGAAGAAAAACGCTGCAGCAGCACCTGCAGCAGCACCAACCCATGCAACACCACCACCACCACCACCACCACCACCAGCAGCAGCAGCAGCAGCAGCAGCAGCAGCAGCAGCAGCAGCAGCGGTGGGAGTGTGAGGCTACCGAAGCAGTTGTTGCGGGATGCATATAAAGATGAATTACCTCGATTTATAATAGATAGAATATGTGTAGATAATCAGTTTGGTGTTTCATGTGAATGGATAGAAGCACTACAGCAGCATGCAGCAGAAAAAGTAACAGATTTAATGTTAAACAATGCAGATATATTATTTCCATATAACCCACCAAACACAAAAGAAGCTTATT